TTGCTCTTTCTTATAAGCGGTATGGGTGTTTGTAAACATACACAAACTCGTTAGTTGTTTGGTTGCCTCACTCAGCTGTAAATGTCATCCAGGCAGGAACTTGTTTATTAATCTTTCTAGTGTCCCACACAGGGCCTAGTTTATGCTTTGTGTTCAATAACTTTTTCAAATGAATTAATTTATAAAGTGTGAGATGATGCTAAATGATAACCAAAATTTAAGCCTTGACAATGTACTGCCAAGCAAGGCATAGACTTTTCTCAAGCAAATTTATCTGTCTTTTTAACTGCTCCATCTTCTGGTCCTTATCCATAGATAGTTCTCTCTTACCCAGCTTGATTGTATACCAAGATCCCTAATGGATACCTGAAAGCATGGATTGTACTGAACCCTACATATACCATGTTTTTTTCCTATTGAGAACTTTTCACCTTTTAATTTAAAGGACGCACTTTATGACTCCTCTTCAGCATATCCAAACTGCTCACATTCACTATTCTTGTGTTTGGGGGCTACTATTATGTTAAAAAAAAAAAAAAGAGGATTGAATACAAACATTGGGATACAAACACAACAGTTGATCTGCTAAGTATTGATCTAAGATGGTTGGCTACTAAGCGACTAGTGGGCAGGTTACATATATAAGGGGGATACACTGGATAAAAGATGATTAATGTCCCAGGTAGGACAGAGCAGAATGGTGTTAGAGCTCATCATGCTACTCAAATGGAATACAACTTTAAATTTAGGGGTTGTTTATTTCTGGAATTTTCCACTTAATACTTTCAGGCTGTGGTTTACTCAGTTAATTGAAACCACTGACAGCAAAGTAGGGACAGATAAGGAGGGACTGCTGCGATAGTTATTAGGACTGGTTCTGGAGTCATTCAGGCTTTTCCAGGTACTAGATGTGTGGACTTGAGCAAAAATTTCACCTTTTGTTTTCTTGACTATAAAACAGGACCATTAAAATGGTCTTTGTTTCAAAGGATTGTTTTGAGAATTAAATGGGGCAACAGGTATGGAATGCTTAGCATGGTATGGACACAGTACAAACATTTGGTAGATGTTATATTATTCTCTTACGCTACTCCACTTTTCAGTTCAATACTCTCGAATGGCTTTGTTTGGGGCCCTAGGCCCCAGAAAGAGAAGTGAATGCAACAGTGTTCACAGACTACAGGTAGGGACCGCCGTATAAGAATGGAATACCACAGGACAATGTACAAGAGGCCAGGGTGTGGTTACTTATGAGGAAAAGGCTTCATGCAGAACAGAGATGCTGTTTGGATTAGATGTGGTCTTCTAGTTAGTTGGAACAGAATGCCAACAGGCAACATGGCTTGTTAGGGGAACGTCAGCTAGTTTCCTGTGGCTGGAGCAGAGATGGTGGGTGGTGGGGAATATGTGGGGTGAGTGGCTGAAAGGAAGGTTAGGGCCAGATCTGGCTAGAGAGCTCAACCAAGTACCACAGGTGGTAGGGGGAGAGGGAAGAGAATGAAGCCAACCGGGAAGGATCAGATTTGCATTTCAAAACAGCTCCCAGGTGGTGGCAGAGGATGACTGAGGGCCAAAGCTGAGGATTGTTGACTAGGACACTGGGCAGGGCTGCTAAACAAACTTGGTGGGAGGCCCCAGCGGGGTGGATGGAGGCCCGGAGCATCTGGCAGCTCACATGATGGACTGCTTTCTCCTGGGCTCCCAGAGTTGCCAAAAGAGTGGAAATCTGAAACCCAGAGTAAAAATGTTGGAGATGTGTTACTCAAAGGACACTTCAATGACTTAGGACTGCGGTGAGGAAGTACCACAAGCCAGGGAGCTTAGAGCCATAAGAAATTGATTTCACAATTCTGGATGCTAGAAGTCTGAAATCAACCATCATCAGGGTTGGTTCCTCTTGGAGGCTAGGGTAGTGGAGAGCAGGTTCCAGGTTTCTCTTTTAGCTTCTGATAGTTGCCAGTTGTGAGCCTTGGCTTGCAGCTGTATCTGCCTCTGTTGTTATCACATGATTTTCTCCCTGTATCTCTGTGTCTTTTCCTGGTCTTACAGAAACATCAGCCGTATTACAGTAGGTTTAGGATCTACACTCATTTTAACTTAACTAGTTACATCTGCAAAGAGCCTATTCCCAAAAAAGGTCACATTCTGAGGTTCTAGGTAGACAGGAATTTGGGGTGGGGATGTCACTATTCAACTTAGTATAGAAAGTAAGATGGAAAAAGAGAAGAGGCTGGAATCTTACAAATCTGAGTCCAAATTTTTTTTTTTTAACAGACTAGCTATGAGCCTTAGGTTAAATCAGTTGCATTTTCTCAGCCTCTTTTTCCCCTTCCATGAAATGAGCATAGTAACTTTTCCAAGTGTTGTGGTGCCGAAACATGATCAAGATAAGAGCTGAGAGGTGCACAGTGAGAGAGTACACAGGTAGGCGTTCAATAATCGTTACTTCTGCTGCCCCTTCCCTGTCCTTGCTAGCTGGGGCCAGTGACTTCACTTCCTCATCTGCCAGATGTGAATAATCATCATGTAGCGCTGCCTACCTCACCAGACTGAAAATCCCAGGAGATAATGAGAAAGCTCTTTGTAAATTGCTTAAGGGGTTGTTGTGATTTTTAATTATTATAGTCATCATCATAATAACCTTCAGCCACTGCCACGCTGCTACACTTGCAGCAGAACCTAGCCCAGGCTGTTCTTCTCCCAAGCTGGGTCTCCTGTGCCTCTTCATGCCGAGCAGCATGACACGACCACCGACAGGATTGGGAGCACCTTGTTGGTCCCAAGAGATGGTCCTAGCTGTTGCTCTCATGAGCTCAGGGGTGGGAAACTGATGAACTGATGCTCAGAGAGAAATGAGTTATCACAGCTGGCCAGTGGCAATTAGAATACTTGACTCACAGCTCCAGTTTATGTTTTTCCCTTGTTACAGCTTTAGCCCCAGAAGCAAGATCTGGGACCATGTGAAGGCCCAGGGGGGCTCTGGTCCAGAGTTAGGGACCTAGCAGGGAAGGGTCCTGCTGAGTCAGGATCAGAAGGGCGAGGAAGGTGAGTGAGCTCCTGGTACCTCCAAGGCTAAAGCAGCAGTTGTTTGACTGTCAGCCTGGCTGTGGCCATCCTGTCTGCTCCAGTGGGAGGGGAGGAAGCCACCACCAGGTAGCAGCACGGGGAGCAGGCACATGGAGGTAACCCAAGGCTTCAATGCACTATTGATGGCCAGGGTGGCACTTTTTGGCAGGCTGTGTTCCGCTAAGCCTTGCCTTGGGGAGGCTCTGGAAAGAAGAGAGGGCTTATCCTGTTCTGGCAGTTTCCATCCAGGTGTCTTCCTCTCCCTCAAGCTGGGGAGCCAGCCCCACCCTTCTGCCTGGGCCTCTCGATCCTCCCCTTTCTTTTCCTCCTTCCACTTTTGGGTTTTCTCTCATTCTCTTTTCTTTGTCTCCCCTCTTTTCTGTCTCCCCACTTTCTCTCTCTCGGTTAGAAGTCTAGAGATAAGGTCTCCAGACCTACTTCAAGTGGCTAGTTTTGGGGCCACTTACGAATTAGAAAGCCTGGATGATCCCCACCAGACGTTCACCTGCTTTTACTGACTTCCGTGTGCTAAGCCCTGTCCTAAATGCTCCATGTGCCTGACATCTGTTTTATTTTTTAGTTTTTTGGTACTGGGGATTCAGCCGAAGTCTTCACACTAAGATACATCCGAATCTTTTTATTTCGAGACAGAATCTCATATCAGCAAGTTGTCTAGGCTGGATACAGAATTGTGATTCTCCTGCTTCAGCCTCTCAGATTACTGGTATTACAGGCATGTGCCACAGGGCTTGGCCGCTTTATGTCTTTTAATCCTGGCAAGGATCCAGCAAGCAAGGCAGAGGTTACAGTCCCTGTTTTATCAAAGGAAGCTAAATAACTTGCTCAAGACCTATCTAGCCTTCAGCTAGCAAGAACCAAGTTGGGATTTAAATGTGGATCTGTCTAAAAGCCCACAGGTACTCTTTTTATGGGGGAGGATGTATCAGAATTTTATTTTTCCTAACATCATTAATTTAGGAAGGGTATTTTGGTCTTATATAGGGGGAAAAACAGGAAATCAGATCAAGTTAGGGAAGGGTCTCAGTCTCCTTTTGGTTAATTTAGCCAAGTAGATGGGTGTCATCAACCCTTTTTTTTTTTTTAAATACTAAGTTTATTGGTACAACTTAGATTTTCATAATGACCACATTCCCTATAGGAAATCTGTTCCTGTACATGGTATATTTTGATTTCTCTTTCTTTTTATCCTGTTCCCCTTTCCTCTTTTATTTTTTTTAATTTTTTTTTTTTTTTTTTTTTGTCTTTTTCATTTTTTATCGGTGCCGGGGATCGAACTTACGACTGCCTGCTTGCAAGGCAGGCGCTTATGTCGCTGAGCTAAACTCCCAGCCCCCCCTTTCCTCTTTTCAATCCTCCTTCCCTTCCCCATTCATGAAGCTTGGTTTTCATTTTATCCTCTTCTCGTTTTTTTCTTTTCCTTCCTTCCTTTACTCCTCCCTGCTCTCTACTTCCTTTTCCCCTCGGACAGTTCCTTCTTATTTCACAATATCTTTTGTACATTTTTGTTCTTATTTACACTTTTTTTTTTTGTCTTTTTCCTTTTTATCGGTACCAGGGATCGAACTCACGACTGCCTGCTTGCAAGGCAGGCGCTTATGCTGCTGAGCTAAATCCCCAGCCCACCTTACACTTTCAATTTCTCACACCAGAGAGATAATGCAAAAACAACCAAGAACAAATGCTGGAGGGGCTGTGGGAAAAAGGAACCCTTCTCCACGCTTGGTGGGAGTATAGACTGCTGCACCCACCATGGTAATCAGTGTGGAGATTCCTCAAAACGAGGACTAGAGGTCCCATTCAACCCAGCTATTCCCCTTCTGGATATCTTCTGGAAGAATTAAAAGCATCGTACCACAGTGATATATGTGTACTCATGTTTATAGTGACACAAGTTGCTTTTTTTCCCTTCAAATCTATTTTATTCAAACATCAAAGCAAAGAAAAGAAGAAGAAGAAAAAAACTATAACAAACTTTTAAAGTACATCAGTTGGATAACAATGGTAAATACATTGTCGTCTCCACATCATCCACACAGAGCACAAGACGTCTGCCTTCAAATGTCCAAACAATACCAGCACAAATCTTTCTCTTTAGTGAACTCAGAGAAAGAAGTAGTATAACTATTTTAACTATTTTTATGTACATGTACATACACATATACATATTTTTCTTTGATTTTGTCACACTAATGAAACAATACAATGTTTACTGTGTCTTATTTATTTCCCTAATGAGTATGTGCTCAAGGTGCATCCATTTACCTATAAAGTGTCCAGTTTAGGGGCTGGGGATTTAGCTCAGCGGCATAAGCACCTGCCTTGCAAGCAGGCAGTCGTGAGTTCAATCCCTGGTACCGATAAAAATGAAAAAAAAAAAAAAAGTGTCCAGTTAATCATTCTTTAAGGCTGAGTAGTACTCTGTTATATAAAAATACCACATCTTTTTTATTCCTCAGTGGATGGGCATTTAGGTTGCTTCCAAGATCTGGCTATTATAAACTGTGCTGCTATAAACATGGGTGTACATATATTACTGTGGTATGATGTTTTAAATTCTTTTGGGAAGATACTCAGAAGTATCAAATGGGACCTCCAATCCTAGTGTTTTGAGGAATCTCCACACTGATTTCCACAGTGGTTGCACCAGCCTGCATTCCCAACAACAGCTGAGAAGGATTCCTTTTTCCCCACAGTCCCTCCAGCATTTGTTATTGGTTGATTTCTTGATACTAGCCATTCTTTCTGAGGTGAAGTGAAATCTCAGTGTTGTTTTAATTTGCATCTCTCGAATGACCATTGAGGCTGAATATTTTTTCATGTATTTATTTCCTGTTTGTATTTCTTCAATTGAGAAGTATGTATTCATCTCAAATGCTCACTTTTGAATTGGATCTTTAAATTTGGGAGATCTGATTTTTTTTAGTTCTTTATATGTTCTTGATAGTAATCCTTTGTCTGAGGAACAGCTGGCAAACATTTTGTTTCATGTTGTGGTTGTTTCTTCACTCTGTTGGTGGTTTCTCTTGTGCAAAAGTTTTTCAGTAGGATGAGATCCCAGTTGTTGATTCTTTGCAATAGTTCCTGAAGCAGCAAAATTTGTAATAATTAAATCTTGGAAGCAACCCAAATGCCCATCAACCAATGAATGGGTAAAAAGATGTGAGATATATATATATATCTCAGCCATAAAAAAGATAAAATTGAGACATTTATAGCTAAATTAATGGACCTTGAGACCAATCATAAGCAAAATAAATCAGACACATATGTGTAAATACCGCAGGTACTCTTGAGTCTTTCCTATATGGCCCCCAATGGGGCCTGCAAGAACATTTAGGGCTCCATAGAAGGGCATGCATTTGCTCAGATTCTAAGAACCAGTTATGCTGGGAGCAGAGTGTTCAGTCCAGGCTCCCTGCCTCCCAGGCCTATGCTCTGCCACCTTGGCCCAGGCTCATCTGGTTCTAGACAGCTGCCTACTTTGTGGGAGAAATGCTACATTGTGTGACAGGGCAAGCCTAAAGATACTTACCTGCTTTCGTAATTATTGCTTTCCCACTGGCCATCTTAGTTTTATTTCACAGATGGTTTTGAGTCTTCCAGTTAGAGAAACTCCTCATCTGCAAAGAACAATAGTTTTATCTGCTCTGAATACACTTGGGAGGCTCCATCAGGCTCCATGATGGGGGTGGAACTGTGAAGGAAGTGGCCAAGGAGACAGTGACTGGGCCAGGAGGCCCAGCTTCATGGGTGAGCTTCTACAGGAGGAAAATCAGGGAGTCACAGCAGCTGGCCCAGGGGTGAGTGAGGTATCCTGGGCCTCCTGTCACTCCAAGTTCACCCCAAGTTCAGACTGCACCCCTACTGTGATCATTTTTGGAGGCAGCCTAACCCAATCAGCCATCTCCTTGCCTGAGCCAGTGGCTTAACCAGGAGGGTCTTTGTTGAAGTAGCAGTGGCTTTTAGCCACAGAGCCCTCTCCATAGGCAAGAAAGCAGAAAGTTTAATATGTAAAGTGGCCCACGTGAGAACACTTGAGGAGCTGGCTAAAATACTCTTCCAGGACTCACACTCTAGAGATTGAGACTCAGTTTATTGGGATGCAGATGGTGCTGGAGATGCTCATGAACTTCTGAAATGGCACTCACACTGTGTGGATTGTGCCCAGGAAAGGATGCAATGATACTGTCCAAGTCTTTGAATGATAAAAAGTCACACCCAGTGTCCTCAGGGCTGTTTAAGGGAGCTGGAGAGAGTGTCTGAAGAGTCGCCCGGAAGCTGATGGCAGGGTCAGGTGGAGAAGGCTGGTCTCTGGTGTCTTTAGGTACATTGCTGGCTTTGCTGTGAAGGTGCTGAGGGACGATGGGCCAGTCCCTTCCTCTGTCTGGGCCTAACTGTTCCCAAATATAAAATGAACTTTGAACAGAACAATATCAAGGTCCTGGATAGCTTGACCTAGGGTTTGGAAGCTGGGTCTCCTGCTGCCCACTCTAGGCCCTCTGACCTTCTCGCGGCCTCCCTAGCATCCTTGCCTGTAGTGGGGCTGCCCTTGCGAGCGTTCCCATCTCCCGGGTTTCTGGACAGATGTGTTCTGACTCCTGCCTCTTCCCTCTTGTCAAATCACCTCATAAGTGCTCAGGCCTTTTCTTCCTTTCTCTGCCCATTTACCCTAAATGCACCAGGTGCCTGTGAGTCTGGGGAAGCTCAGGGTGATCTTGCTGTAGGGCTGGATGCCTGGGTCTGAGCCAAAGGGAGGGCTGGAGAAGGCCTTTCCTTTCCAGAGGCTCCTGGACACACCCAGCACTCACCTGTGTCTTTGGCCTTGCTCCCTCTGTTCCTCCCTGCCGGGAACACCACTCCCACCCGTCCCCAATCCCTGTCAAAATCCTGTCTGCCTTTTCAAGGCTCAGGTCAGATGCCAGCCACTGTCCCACAAAGCCTAGTGAGCCCCCCCTCACCCCGCCACATTGAGGTTCTCTTTACCTCCTCTGAAATCTCTTAGCCCCTGATCTGTTCCCTTCTGGGGACAAGGTCCGCTCAGTCTTCCCTGTAGCTGAGGAGGTGGCTTGTCTCTCGCTAGGTTGTGAGCCTTTGAATAGTGAAATGTCTGTGTCTCATTCTTTGCTCCCCAACCTCTAGCACAAGAGGTGCTTAATCCAGGCTTATGAAGTTTTATTGGCAGCTTTATTGCCTCTAGCCTTGGGGTGGGCTCATTTCTTTTAAATCGGGCTTGTTTCTTTCGAACTCCTCTGGCCCACACCACTGGCAGGTTACAACTTCTCACATACCCTCTCCTTTATTTGAGGGTTGGAAAGAGGCCAAGTAGGGCAGTGGCTAAGAACGTAAGTTCCAGTCTTGATGCTGCTGGCTCCTGGCTGTGTGACCTTGGGCAAGTCACCTCCTCTCCTCTTAGCCTCAGTTTTTTCAGTTTAGAACTATGGCATAGGAATGGCAAGTCCACTGGAGGCTTGGGGAAAGTTAACGAAAATTTTGTGGTAAAAAGTTTAGATAACATTGTAGCTGGGAGTAGTGGCTCATGCCTGTAATCTCAGTACTCTGGAGGCTGAGGCAGGAGGATTGTTGCAAGTTCGAGACCAGCCTGGGCTACAAAGTGAACTCAAGGCCAGCCTGAACTGCACAGTGAGACCCCGTCTCAAAAAGACAAAAAAAAAAAAAAAAAGTTTAGATAACATTATAAAGAACAAATGACCAGTAAACAATTATAATTCATTGTTTTTTTTACTTAACGGTAATTATCCTGTTGTTTTAGCAGCCACATATTATGTTCTGAGTATTGTGCTGGTAGAGCCACAGTGAGAGAAAAGCAAAATCATAACAGGATTTCCATGGTCTCCAGGACCTGCAGGTCAAGTAGAGCCACTGAGACCCGAGCACAAAGGCTCAGAATGCGGCAGAGACATGGCTGAGTGAGTTGAGCGGTGAACAGTTTTGTAGTTGCTGCGCCATAGGTGACATTGGGCTGGCATGGCAGGAAGCAGAAAGGGCAACAAAAGCCTGTGAGGCAGGTATTTCTTGTGAAGGATGGAGAAGCGTATTTGTGAAGGGTGCAGGATGCAGGAGAGAGCAGAGTGAAAGCTGGGGCGGGGGCTCCAGAATCTATACAGGAAGGGGCTCAGGGTCAGTACCTCAGGTGCAGGGGGGTGTCAAGCTTTGTTTCCCCAAGAAGCATTTGAAGAAGTGATGGTTCCCAGTGCCACTATGGAGAACAAAAGAGAGAAGCCTGGGAAGTGGGGCAGTAAAGGAAGGCCTTTCTGGTGGAGGCAGTGGGGAGCCACAGAAGCTCTAAGCAGGAGTGTAATTGGGAAGCACAGAGCATGGCTCATTTCTGTCCAGGCTGGACCTGAGAATGGCTTGGGTGGGCTTTACGTTCTGGACCTCTGCAGGGTTACTTGTGTACCTGGCCAAGGTCATTATTTGAATGACCTGAAGCTCAAGTACAAAATGATCCCAGAAATGTCAGAATTTCTAAAGATCAGGGCAGAAGTCATGATCTTTTAACCCAGTTTCTTCTACCACATTTAGACAGGTGGAAAGCGGAAAACCAGGACAGGGAGATACTGCCGGGGATCCTTGGAGGAACTGGCCCCCATGAGTTTGTGGTGGGCTGTGGACTCAGGCTTATGTTAAGAGACTGGGGGAGAAGGTGAAGAGAGTGCCCGGGAACCCAAGGACGATGCAAACGATGAGCCAGCATCAAATTGGGAGCAATCCGTTGCCAGGGTATATGTGATTTCAGGTGAGTGGGATGTGAGTGGGCTGGAGCCGTCATCATTCTAGGCTTTCCTTCCGGAAAAGAAGAAAGGACCGTATAGGTGGGAGCCGGGGAATGTTGGGATGTGGGGAGAGATCAGGGGGTGGCTTGAGAAGAGGTGGCTGTTGCCAAGCAGCAAAAGATTACATTAGAACATCCCAGGCCCCCCAACACTTTGGACCTGACACTATCTCACCCTGTGCTGGGGTGGGATTGCTTCCTAAACTGTGAAGAAGCCAGGGCTCCCAAGCTTCTGGCTAGGAAGAGTAGAGTCAGGAGCTGTGTCCAGGGCTAGGAGCCTTCCAAGTCATGTCTCCAGCACGCCCTAGGTGGCTGCCATCCTGTTCTTCATTAGATTCTGGGATCAAAGGGGTCAAGGAGCACGCAGCCCAGGGCAAACCATCTTTTTTGCATTCATTCCGTGTTCTTCTCAGCCTCTGTAGCCATTTGACCTATTTTATTATCCAGTCCTTTATTTGTTGATTAAAAATATTTATTGAGTACCTGCTGTGTGCCAGGCACTGCTCCTCGCCTTGTGGAATTTATGCCACCACCCTTTCACAGAGGATTGTCCCACATTGGCAGGGAGGGGCCGGTGAAGGAGGTGAGCATTCACGAGTCCCCCCTCTTCCTTCTTACCCTCTGCCCTTTCCAAGTCCCCCTACCCCTAGATGGGACTTCTTGCTGGAACCACCTCCTGCTGAACTGGAAACCAATTAGAGTTAATTGTTAAACCTAATGGCTGGTGAGAGTTTGGAAGTGCTAGGCTGGCAGGAGGGGGCTGCAGGCTGGTGCTACTCCCCAGGAGAGGGCTGGAGCGACCCAGGCTTTTCTGGTCTCTACCTGCCACCTTTTCCCTACTCTGGTATCTGTCTCCAGGGCCTTCTCCTCCCCAGGAGGCCAGCTGCTACTTGGACTCTTTCCCCTGCCTCCAGCTAAGGTGACCCTGGGAGGTGAGTACTGGCTCTGGCCCTAATCCAAAGGCCTCTGATTGAGAGCTTTTGGGGGAGGGTGGTGAGCTCTGAGGATCCACCCAGAGTGCTGGCTTTGCCTCCTGCTGGGTAGCAGTGAGGGAGATTGGGATAGGGTCACAGTGGCCTAAACCCTCTACACAGGTTCACCACACAACCTTGTGAGTCCCATACCTTTCCCCTGCTCTCTGTCCCTTTTAGCCCCTTCCTTGGGTTTTCTGTTTTGGCCGCTCTCTGCCACTAGATTGGGGGAGCAGGGCTCCCTGAGGCAAAGGCTTGTTTCTTTCTCTAGAAGCCAAGCCCTAGGCCAGAACCCTGCCAACTTTAGGAGCTAAACTAAGGCTGCAAGTCAGCAAGCACATCAAAGTTGTGTGACCTTGTCAGGTGACTTACTTCTCGGAGCCAGTGTCATGGTTTGAACAATGGGTCCTCGAGTCCTTTTGTCACTATCTTTGTGAATCTAATAGGTTCCAGAGGTAGATATTAGTGCTAAGCTCAGTGGGGGGTTGTTAAGTGAGTAGAAATCATATTCAGACATGATTCAGACATGACTTTACCTTAGAGGTTTAGCTGAGGTCAGAGCCAAGGAGGCCATCAGCCATGTGGCCTAGGATTTGACTGCAGAGCTGCAGCTGCCCCTGTAGCAGCTGCTAGTCAGTCACCTGTGGCTGCTGAGGACTGGAAATGTGCCTAGAGTGATGGAGGAACTAAATTTTTATTTGATTTAATATTTAATTGTATTTGATTTAAATTAAATAAAAATTCTAATACAGCTGGGCATAGCTATAATCCCAGCACTCAGAAGACTGAGGTAGGAGGATTACTGTGAGTTTGAGGCCAGCCTGATACATAGTAAGACCCTGTCTCAAAAAACAAAGAACAAAAAACAAAAAAAAACGAAAGAAAAAAAATTTTAAAACAACACTCCAATTATACATAAATGTCTATGAATATACATAAGTGCATATGAATATGTCTGTATTTAGATTCATAAATACATTTTTCCATTGTGAAGACTAAAAGAATCTAAATATTTGATGAAAATTCATCATCTGAATCAAGATGTGCTGTAAATGTAAAATACATGTTGGATTTAGAAGATTTATTATGAAAAGAAAAAGTATAAGATATCTAAATACTTTCTTTGCTTTTTGGAATTGAACCTAGTGCTTCCTAAATGGGAGGCAAATATTCTATCATTGAGCTATATCTCCAATCTTTTTTTTTTTTTTTTTTAATTTTTATTGGTACCAGGGATCGAACTCAAGACTGCCTGCTTGCAAGGCAGGCACTTAATGCTGCTGAGCTAAATCCCCAGCCCCTCCAATCTGTTTTTGAGACAGGGTTCCCCTAAGTTGTTCATGCTGACCTAAAACATGTGATCTTCCTGCCTCAGCCTCTCAAATAGCTGGGATTACAAGTATGTGTCTGGGTAAATAGTATTTTTAAAATATTGGTTATATGCTTAAGTTGATATATTGGGTTAAATATACTATTAAAATTAATTTCACTTATTCTTTTATTCTTTTTTAAAATGTGATTATTGGAAAGTTTTAAATGACATATGTGGCTTGCATTATATTTCTGTGTATGAGATGGGGCCTTGCTGTGTTGCTCTGTCTAGCCTTGAACTCCTGGGTTAAAGTGATCTTCCTGCCTTAACCTCTGGAGTACCGGAGACTATAGATATGAACCTCACATGATAATTCTACTGGCTAATGCTGTTGTAGACCGAAGTTGAGTTGGACACACTTGAATAATAATATAAGATTATATAAGGGCTAGTTGCTTGAGGAGGTTTGAGGAGACACAGTAGGCCAGGTATTCCCTATACCTCCAGACCTTGATCATGCTGTGTGGTAGGATGTTACTCTGGATGACTCTATAGCCTCCGAGGTAAGAGAGCTTCTCATGAGTTCTTCTCCTGGCCATCTCACCTGTTTATGTATGAACTCAGGCACTTCCCTCTGCAGAACCTTCGTCTGTCATGTCAGTTGTGGTTAATGGTGACTGAGGGGATTCCCTGGGCCATAATGCAAGGGAAGCATTCAGTTCCATACCTGGCACATCTGAGCAGCCCCGAATTTACACTGGTGATGGTCACCACTGCTACTAATAGGACTGATGCTACTACTGCTGCATGTATCAGCTTGGATTCAGTTATATCCTTGCCTCATTGAGACACGGGCCATAGGGAAATGAGAAGTTGGGAGTTTGAGCACAGAAGCTGGGATGGGTATGTGGGAATATTTTGTATGATACGTCAAGGGATTGCTTGCCTTTAAGGTAGCTCCTTGGATCTTACCTCTGCCAGTGATCGGCAAAGACAAGTCTCCTTTTTACAGATGGAGACATGGCGTGGAGGCCTGTCAAAGGGAGTCACCTAGCTATTTAGCCAGAATGTGAGTGTAGGACTCCCCAGCCCTGTTGCTGTGATTTAGGAGACAGTGTTAGGAGGCTACTGTGTGAGGCTGTAGGAGCAGGGCCTGGCCAGGAGTCTGAACTTGTCAGGGATGATATTGTTAGTTTCCCATAACTGGAAGGGACCGTGACACCCTTCAGTATATCTAGCACATTTAGTATCTTTCTGGAGTTGAAGAGACAGAGCTGGGATGGAGGGAGGGAGTAGGGGCAGAGGCAGGAGAGACGGTGAGTAGGAATGAGAGAGAGACGGAGACAGACAGACCGTGCTAGAATCACATAGCAAGATGGCAGCCAAACTGGAGCTGCTTTTGCTTGTTTGATCCAGCCTTTAGCTTAGTCCTGCCAGGATGGGGGCCTGCTTGACGGACCCCTCTTCTCCACATAGTCCCCGGAGATGCCTTCTGAGAAAGAGGCTTTTGTTTCACCAGCTGCTTCTTCTGGTTTCCTCTCAAGGTAAATACACACACACACACACACACACACACACACACACACACACACCTCACATCACCTCACTTTGTATTCCACACTGTTCTGGGTTTAAAGGGCTTTGGAAATCCAGAGTTTCTCCACACCTCTCTAATTCCTGGTTATCTACAGACAGATCACATGCTTCACTGGAGGTCTGGATTCAAATCCCTCTAAAGTTTTGACTGTGGCCTGGTTATTTCTATATTTTTTTTTTAGCCTAACTTTCTCATCCAAGAGGCAGGAACCAAAATAGTGTCTCTACAGCCTCCCGTAGCCTGTGTGTGTGTCTCGTTCTGCCACTCTCTCTCTGTGGCCTTTTTCTTCATCTGTTGCTCCCTCTCAGATGGTTACGAGAGGGCGCAGTGCCAAGCTCTCCGTGTGCACAGCTCATCTCTTCCTCTCATTGGCTCTGGAGGATGACACTGTGATTCCTCTTTCCTGATGACTTGCTCAGGCCACACATCTAGAAGGTGGAGGAGCCACTTTCTCTTGGAGTTCATGCCAGTTCTGCATAATCCCAGGACCCGAGCTTGTGTACCACTTCCAGCCCTCTTGTTTATCAGGTTCTATGTGAAGTAGAAACACCTCACCCACCTGGAGATTCTTTCTTGTTTTTAAAATTTCTTTCCCACCTGGAGATTGACTCTCCTGTGTGTGTGAGTTTAGAGGCATTTTCCTCTAACTACCCTGTCTATTGTATACCAGCCCAGGCCTGCAGCTGGGGCTCAGAGGAGCTTAAATATCCTGTGCAAAACTACCAGACTAGAGTGAGAAAGACTTAGGGATCACTAAGTTTAGCCACATTTATTTCACAAGTGGGGAGATGGAGGCAGGATAGGTAGGTTGAGACAGCAGTGGATCTGCTTTATCCTGGGTGCTGGAGACCATTGGGCTGACATGGAAGGAAGCTCCAAGGCTAGGGACCCTGCTGTCCTTTAACCTCCTCCATCCAGTGCAGCACCAAGGGCCGTGGCACCACCCTTGAGTCGCTCTGAAATCCGTCTACTTTTTCTCTTCTACAACCATTCCAGCCTCACCCTTGTCCCACCTCCTGACTGGTTCTCCCCAGCCACTCCTACCCCTTTCCAGTCCCTTCTCTACTGAGAGTCAGTGGTTTCCCTTGCTCTTAGAATGAAGACTCACCTTCACGCTGGTCTCCCAGGGCCCTTCCAGGCCTGGCCCCCGTGGGCCGCTGCAGCTTCAGATTCATTAGCTTCCATCTTGCTCTCTGTGTTCAGTCCCGTAGCCGGCTCTTCTGTGTAACAGGTTCAGCAACTTCCCTGAAGTTCCTCCAGAGTCCAGTGCCAGCCTCTCAGTTGCCAGCCCACGCTGGGCCCAGGGCTTGTGCGGAGGAGCTAATACTGTCTCCTCCTTCTAGGTGCCGGGCTGAGGACATCTTCCTCAGGGAACTGGTGCGCACGGAGGAGGGCTGAGTGTTCCAGAGACACCACCTAGTCTTCTGCTTCTGCTGAGGTTGGGCAAAGAGGCCTCTAGGCCCTCGGGCTCTTGATTTTGATGTATTTTAACTGCTGGGGTGGCTTGATAAGGGTTGATCTGGCCACAGGTTTCTGAGAGGGTATTGAAAAAGGGGAAAGTGGGGCTGGGGATTTAGCTTAGTGGCATAAGCGCCTTCCTTGCAAGTGTGTGGTCGTGAGTTCGATCCCTGGTACCGATAAAAACGAAAAAGACAAAAAAAAAAAAAAAGAAAAGAAAAAGGGGGCAGTGCTGAGGGCTCTCCTTAGTTGGTTTGGGCTTGTTTTGAGGTAGGAGATGAAAAGCACATTCACCGAACATTCTTGCTGACAGCTGGCTTTCCCTGTATTGCTTGTCCATGCCACCAAGGCTGGTGACAAATGGTATCAGGCTGGGAAGCCAGATTGTCAGGCCCTGGTGCCCTTGCTGTATTTCAGTAAACAGCTCCCAGGTGTAGTGTGGATTTAGGGGAGAGTGTTTTCCCTCTGGCTTAGTCACTGACTAATACTATGTCCCTCTCTGCTGGCCTCAGAGTCATATATTTGTTATCCAGGTGGGTGTTAGAGAGAGGTAGGGTCAGACTAATGGTATTTTTCTCAAACTTTACAGCAGGAGAATCCCATTTTCAAATGAATGCCAAGAATCTCAAAGTACAAAATAACTCAAAGCGTTGTCGTTTCTGTTGACTTTGGAGCAGGGTTGGAAACTGTAAGTGGTTAATTCCTCAGGCCCCAGTAATTCCCAAACAAAGCCAAGGACTCTTCCTTTGCTTTGGGTAGGACACTGGAAATCTCTGGCTCAGGGAATGTTAAAGGTCCTGTCTAACTTGGAGGTGCTGTGACTCTGGCAAGGTGAAGCTATTGAGAGGGACTCAAGCCAGTGAAATTATATTGATTAAAAAATGGCAAAGTAACATATAAATGTTATTGTGGGGTTATTAGTAAGACAATACTGACAGGGAAATAATATTATTCTAGAATCCTCTGGTTTTTAATTTTGAATAGATGTGAGAGGGATTGTTCCAGTGAGTCTCTCTCTCTCTCTCTCTGTGTGTGTGTGTGTGTGTGTGTGTGTGTGAAGTAGGACCATGAGGAATGGGGCAGGGCTGAGCCCATCTGGGGCAGATAGAATGAATGGTGAACAGAGCTGGAAGCATGTTATTCCTGGGTAGAGGGGGTAGGGGCAGTTTTAGCTCCAGTTAAAAGGAGTGATTTGGCTCTTTCCTGCCAGGACATGGGCCCCACGGAGATCTCCGAGCAGGAAGCAGTGGGAACAAGGCAGCCTCTGTCCATAGCCACAGTACAGCCAGGACAGAGGAGATGGATTAGAAGTTCCCGGGAGGGGGCTGCCTGGCCATTCTCTGACATTTGGGCAGTGTGTGAGGAGAGGGGGGAGAGGACTCAGGAAAAGGAGGCAGAGGTTGGTTTGTACACTTATTCCACACATTCCTCCAGCTTCCTGAACTGCTGCAAGGACCAAGGCTCAAGGGCAGGCAACTCCATAGGATTCAGAGCCAAGAAAGATGAGACTCTGGGTATTAACCACCATCCACTTACTGAAGGGGACAGGAGATGTGAGATCTTCAGAGGGAGCCTGGCACAGTGGAGGCCATTGGCCTGCAAGTCAAAGCCCCACATTCAAGCACTTGCTCTCCTGACTGGGCCTCAGTCTCCCCATCTTAATGTGGAATGTGAATGAACTGTCTATATTCTACTACCCTGTTTGTTTTTTGGTTTGGGGTTGCACCCAGGGCCTTCATACTTAACTATATCCTGATAATTTTTTTTTTTTTTAACAAGATCTCACTAAGTTGCTGAGTTACCAGCCTGGGCTGGGACATGTGATGCTCCTGCCTCAGCCTCCCCAATGGCCTTCTTACTGCTCTTCTGAGTGTCAGAGATGCATGTGGACACTGAGGTGCAGAGGGGAAATCCACACACTGAGTAAGAAGGGGATCTGGGATTCAAGCCCAACAAATCTAGCTTCAGAGCCCACATTCTGACCACTCTGTCTCTTGTCTCTGCTCAGTAGACCAAGTAGCTGTCCTCCATCTGCTTGCATGCTGCTCTGTGACATGGAGCTCACAACCTGCAGAGGTAGCTAGACCCAGATTGCACTGCTCTGCCTGTGGGAAAGGATTTCCTTCTGTTACATACAGATCTGCCTCTGTACCTGTCCATCCAGTGTTTGGTGCTGTGCTGGATGTTTCTGGAGACAGAGAGAAAAATCATCCATGAACTTGCCTGGAAAATCTCTATACCCAACATTACGGATCTCTCATTTCATGCAAGTGAGTCTGTGCCATGGCTCCCCTCCCCTTTGTACTGGGGAGTGAGCCATTGGCCTTTGCATTGAGCCACATCCCTAGCTCTTTGTTATTTTTTGTTTTCATTTTGAGACAAAAGCTTGCTAAATTACTATGTTGCCCACTTGGCCTCAAACTTGCAATCCTCCTGCCTCAGTCTTGCAGGGTGCTGAAGTTGTGGGTGTGTGCCACCACATTCTGCTATATTACCTCATTTAATTGCATTGACTCTATAGAGGAGGTACTGTTATTGAACCCATTTTCTAGAGCAAACTGAGATTCCTCACAGAGAGGATAAGTGACTGATCTAGGACCACATAGCTAAGAAATCATAAAGCTAGCGTTTGATCTCAGGCTTGCCTGACTCCAGAACCTGCAAAGGAAATCATTGTCCTCACCTGTTACTCCAGGGGAGGGATAAATGTGGCAACATACCTGTGACAAAGCATGCAAATTGCCATGGGAAGAACGGGCCATCAAAGTTCAGAAGAGAGTGTAGAGGAAAGAAAGGAGAAGGGGACATTTGAGCACGTTGGAGGGGATAAGATTTGGACATATGATGTGGTGGGAGCACTCTGGGATGAGGGAGCTGTCTGAGAACAGGCAGTGAAGGAGGAAGCAGGGGTCATCACATCTGATGTGCACTGGAGAGCTGGGGTGAGTTTGGCCAGCCGTGCTTTTAGACCCTACAGAAGGTGCCTCTTCCTTCATACTTGTCTATTCAGAAGTGTGGAGGGGTTTGATCTTCTCCAGCTGAATGTGGGTGCCCAGTTGCTTCCTTTCTCCCGAGATGCAAGGAAGACAGGCCCCATCTGTGTGGTGGGCAAGGGTATGGGCAGCAACAGTGCTGCCGCTTCCTGCCCTGCTGCTGGTGGTGAGTGGGGAACAAGTGCTCTCTTTGGTCCTTTGGCCAGCTGCCTACCCTCCCTCCAGAGGCACAGAACTCCAGCCGTCAGGATGGATCCTAGTAGCCTTGGTACAAGAAGGCTGCTCAGCCTCTTGCTGGGCATCAGGCACACAATCTTCTGACCAGCAGAAGCTTCCTCTCCCTGCTAATCTCATGGGCTCTATCCTAAAGGTGCTTTGGGCTTTTCTCCAACAACTAAGATGGAAAATTGGGGGAAGTGTATGCTGTTGGCCCTGGGAGCCCGCTTGGTTTCAAAGATGGAAAAATGACAGCTATATTTGTTGAGACCCACTCACAGCATGCCCAAAACTTCATCATCCCGTTTTTCAGATAAGGAAGCTGAGGTCTGGAGGAGGCTAATGGCACAATTTTAGTTGTCACATGGAAGGTGGCTTGTCATTGTCTTCTCAAGGAAGGATCAGTGTCCAGAAGATTCAGCAAGGAAGCCTGCCCTCATCCCCTCCACTTGCCTACTCTTCCCTCTCCTGACTCTGGCTGCTGTGAGTGCTCCTAGCCTCTCCTCCGTGTAGTAACAGCACTCCCCACAGCTTGCTGCCTGCTGTCTCCAGGGCACCAAAGGATGCCCAGCATGCCTCTGTGACCCCTCGCTTTTCCTTGGGTTTTCTCTTGCAAGGAAAAGACATAAAGTCCAGGGGAGTTATTCCATTTAGGTTCTTCAACTCCATAGTCCTTTATCATGTGGTTTACACTAAGACTAGAGTTCAAGTCCTTTGTGTTTTTCCTATGCATGTTCTTCATTTCATCCTTTGTCTCTGATTATCCCATAATCCTGAGAGATAAAGCAGGGAGGGTGTATTTATCCCAACTTGTGGGTGGGTAAACCGAGGCTCAGTAACAGTAAGTGACTTCTCCAAAGTCATCCAGCAAACAGTGACAAAGCAGAGCTACAGACAGTATCCAGAACTCCTGATCACTGTCACTGGCACAGCCTCTGGGCAGGCCTCTCTACCCCTCCTCACCTCCAGGACTCTCTCTCTGCTCCATCCCAGTGTGTGTTGGTTGCATTTACAGAGCTTCCTAGGCCTCCTAAGCCCTACAGAATATAGCCTCACTCACCACTTCTCTAGTTGAGGTTCCCCCAGATCCAGCCCCAGTCTACTACTATCGCCAGTCTCACTAAGGTGACAGGTGGGGCCTTTTCTTCCTACAAGATGGGCGAGATAGAGGGTTACCTTTGTGGATTGTCAGTGGCATGGGTTTCAGCCTACTGTCCAGAGACTGGATGGGGAAACTGAGGCTAGGGTCAGCACAGTCGCTGCATGTAGGGAAGATGGAGAGGCATGTCTAGAAAAAGGCTGGGCTGGGTGATGGGGAGGCCCTTTCCCAGGGGCACCTATAAGTAGAATGTAGTGTGCACTTAGTATTTATATGGTGTTCTACTTTGGTCCTAGAGAAATTCTTCTAAGCAGAATGCTGGGCTCCCAGAAAAGTGACAGCTGGACCAAACCAGAACCAGAGACCTGGGTTCCTAAGAGCACCAGGGGCTTGTGCTAAAGATAGCTGGGGTCCTGGGATTAGTGGTGATGGTCACACAACTC